GATTACTAAGTGACTAAGTGGCTAAGTGACTAGGCAACTAAGTAACTAAACAATTAAACAATTACTAATTAACCAGAAAGTTTTAGCAACTACTACTAATAATAATAATACAATAATAAAATAACTAATACTAAATAATAATAATAATAATAAAACAATAATAAAAATAAAATAATAATAATTTGTTCTATAACAATATTTATATGAAATATATATAATATATAACTAGTAATAAGATATACAACTTAATTGCACTTATCATAGCAGAATTACTATTAGTAAATATTACTGTAGATATGACATCTGTCTTCTCAAACAATGTTTCATAAATCTATTTATAAGTATCTAATGTCTTATCTTCAATAATACAATTTGCTATAATTCTTGTTTTAAAATTGTTATTAATTATAATAACAATAAAAAGCATTATTTAAAATTGGTTTGTATTTGCAGTTGCATTTATAATTACAACATTATAAAATTGCTTATAAAGTAACTTTTGTGCTAAAGATAACTATAATAAAGAATTTAGCTTTTTTGATACTGTCTTAATATATAATACAACTATTCATAAAAATTTTTTCTCTTTTTACTTTAATAACATTTAAAGCATTAACAAGGTTTCCAAGTTATTAAAGTTATAATTTCATTGAAAATTATATACAGCATTGTATAAATTCTGTTTATTTAATGGATGGTTAGGATAATTATATTAAAGTAAAAGATAAATTGATCCTAAGTTCATTTTGCCATAAATTATATACTTTTTAATATCTAATAATATATTAGAAGTTTATCTGCTATATTGTGTAGCAATTTTATTAACTATAAAGTAAGTGAATAGTTGTAAACATTATAAAAAAAATTAATTTTTACTCTTACTATTGTTTTTAAATATGTAATATATAATTTTTAAGAACATATAGTTTTTTGAGACTTAGCATTATGATGCTTAGTAGAATTAACTGTTATGTTTGGATTATGAGTGCCAGCTTTAATATATGCTTTTTGAATTATGCCTTTATCATTTGCTTCACTCATTCTAATTTTATAGTCAAATCCTTTTTGCAATACAAAATGATTAAGCCAAGTTTTAAAAAAGTCCTAGTATGAAAATAAAATACTAGCTATCAATTTCAAATGCAATTCATTATCTGTTTTATTATTATCTAATTCATTTTTATCTACTAAGTTACATAATTAAGTGTTTATATAATTATTATTATCTGAGTATACAGAATTGTTATAATA